TTGTAGATAGTCACATGATTACCCGAAATAACAAGGCGCTACTGTATATCTCGGAAACGAAAGCAGCACAAACGCAGCACTAACGATTGCGGTGAAATAAATTCAAAAATTTATTTTTGAAGTACAAAGCAGAAGGTGTTTCCCCTACCTTAAATATACGATTAAAATTGTTCAAATACCATGTAACATAACATAAAGCAGCGGAGACAGTTATATTGCAAATAAAAAATGTATTTTTTTCCCGAAGAGTACGGGACATTATTGTGAATCAATAATGGCGTTAAGAAAACAAGGCGATATAGTTATTTTGCAAATAAGTAAAGCATTTGAAAAATATTCTCATTGACAGTAAACACACTGATCCACCTGCCGCTGCTGGCTTAAACAGCTCTCAGACCAGCGATTGGCAAAACCCCCGAACAGCTCGGGCCGCGATTGGGTGAAGAGTGAGAATCGACACTCTGATTGGGTAAAGCGCCACAGCGGAAGTTCTGTGTACCGTGTGTGCTGTATGGATATACAGTAACACATCCATTGGTTTCTAATTACTGATCAATCTAAGAGAAGTCGCACGGAGGTAAAAACTGAATAGCAAACAAAGAATGTCATGGCATCCACAGCGTGTTCACGACTCCGATAGCATGTGCGCGGATCACGAACACATCGTGATACCCATTGCGACTGGCGCATCACTGTCATGGTGCCACTGTTGCCATTAAGTCCATATATTTCGATATTAAATACCCCGACAAAACGCCCCCGCCCCCCATGTCGCGACATGGAGCCCGCAGATCGCAATATGGCGTACCCCTGACAAAACGCCCACCCCCATGTCGCGACATGAAGCCCCGTATATCGCGATATGACATACCTCGGCAAAAGCGCCCTGCCCCATGTCGCGACATGAAAGCCCCTATATCGCGATATGACAAAATTGCCACGCCCATGTCGCGACATGAAGCCCGTATATCGCGATATGACATACCTCGGCAAAAGCGCCCTGCCCGATGTCGCGACATGAAATCCCCTATATCGCGATATGACAAAAACTGCCACGCCCATGTCGCGACATGAAGCCCATATATCGCGATATGACAAAAAACTGCCACGCCCATGTCGCAACATGAAGCCCATATATCGCGATATGACATACCCCCGACA